ACCTACCAGAGCTGTGATATTTTTACTGTATATACAGGCTCCCAACAATGCACGTAGTACTAGTCAGAATAGTGAATGTCATTGATGCTGCCTGCAATGCATTGTTATTTGTAAAGGATCAACTCCAAGCAAAAGTTTTTATTCCGCTTTAGATAGAGCAGGGAAGGAAGAGAGTCTCTGTTTTGTTGCACTTTGTGACCCTATTGGGGAGATTTCTCCCCACTTCCTACAAAGAGGGGGGATAATGGGAAAGCTTTTCAATGGGTACACAGATAAAAAGATTTTTAGTAGAGTGGAGAAATGTTTTTATTGCCATTTGTACCTTGCATCGATCACTGCTCACCCCATTTCTTGTATACATTACAGGGAGAGGAAGTGAGGGAAAATAAAAAATAAAAACGTGACAAATTTTAGCTCCTCCACTCGCTATTGAAAGCTTAAAATAAAAACATTTTGCTTGGAGTTAGGCATTAAATGTGGATTTAAGGTGCAACACAGTGTAAAGGGATTAGAACCCCTATCAATTTTTTTTTTATTTGTCCCCCAGTAGGGAAATTCCCCCTCTATTTGGCCTGGTGACCCTCATCACTGAAAGTGAAAGAAAATCTTACATTTTGGGTTGTCACTAGAACAAGAGTAAATGGGAAATCGTCAAATGGGGTCACTAGTTCTGGTGGCCCTGCTGACCACCAGGGATTTCACTCCTTTTGGAGGGAGTTCCTTTCACTTCCTTTCATGGCTATTGAACAGGTAGTGAAGAAAAATCTCCCCAATTGGACACATATGGCAGAAAAAAAGCTGATGGGGTTATAATACTACCTTACTCTATCCCAAACTAAAAAAAACAAGTCAGTTCTACGCGAATACATTTAAAGACAAAACTGTACTAACATCATTTTGCTGTAACAATGGATGCACCGATCCCGGTATTTCGGTATCGAGTATGAGTACCAATATTTTTTTTTCGGTACTCGCCAATACCGAGTACCGTAAGTCCCATTTAGGAAGCCAGGCAGCGTGCAAAGACTCGCCACCCGGTTTCCCGATTAGCAGGGAAGCCATCCCCATGCTTCTCGTGAGGTCACGAGGGAACATGAAGCCGGCTTCCTGACCAATCGGAAAGCCGTGTGCCGCATCATTACACAGCGTCTGGCTTTCTGATTGGCCAGCTTCTGACCAATCAGGAAGCCGGGCAGCGCGTCACAAGTGACGAGAGAGCATGGAGCCGGCTTCCCGGCCAATCAGGAAGCCGAGCAGCGTGTGATAATGTGCTGCCCGGCTTCCTGATACCGGAAGTATCGGGCTAGGCTTCGGAGCATTTGGGGGAGTACGAGTACTCGCCCAAATACTCGGCACCGATACTAGTATCGGTGCATCCTTGGCTGTAATCTTAGCTAATTTGATGCTGGGCACATTTTTAACAGATTCGCTTGTATATAGTACTGAACAATCCTCTGTCATTTCTTACAGTTTACATGATTGCTTATGCATATGCTCTAATAAAACATTGTTTTTATTTTCCTCTTCAAGGACTATCTTTCTGGGTTTCATCAGCTGTCCTATCAACATGAAGAGGTCACTGGTCTTCCATCTATGCAGTCTGCTATGTAGCATGCTGCTGCTGTCACCAAAGGCTTCATGTCTGTCTTTTCAAAAGCTGGACAAAAGGAACATCCCTGATGGAAATGGAGAGCTTCATGGGATGGGTGTCCCTGAATCACATCCTGGTGATTCTCTTCTTCCAACACAGTCTACCATACTGAACGATGTCAACGTGTCTGTGACCTTGCCAAATGCTGTGCCGATTGTGCCAGAAGAATTACAAAACAGCACTGAACTTCTAAACACCAGCACTGTTAACCCAAACGCAGAGTTGAGTAATGTTGGTGTTGCCAATGAAGCAGTTCCCACTGCTCAGGTTAAAACCTCTAGTGAAAATGGAATTCTGATTACACTTGGTTCTGGCACTAATTACACCACCAGTGCGAAATCCCTTGATGAACCTATTCAAGCTGATCCAAAGGAACCTAGCCAGCCTCCAGATGAGAATAATGTAGATTTAGATCAAGGCAATGTGGAAAAATCACCCCAGCTTAATACCATTGAGATGTTAACTACCCACCCTAGAACCAGCATTTTCAAAACGGAAGACAACCATTCCACCACATCTACTCCACTTATTGGTCAGATGACTACTTCTGTTAATGCAATGAAGTTTGAAGGGCCTTCAGGCTTGGAAACCTCAACTTTACTCCAGAACAATGGTAGTTTGTCTTCTACAATGCCACAAATAAACGAGGACTGGGATGACACCAAAGGGACAACACTGAGTTCTAGCACAGCTAGTAGTGATGTTATAACGCCTGTTCCAGACCAGGTTTTGGAAAATGAGGGCAGTAAGATTGCTGTGTTTACAATTCATCCTGGAGTGACCGTCCCTTCCGACGACAAATCTGTATTCAGTACTGCCGAAAAGATGCCCGAAGAAAAGCTTTCATTAACGGAGACAGATACATTGCTTAAGGAGGACTTCCTTACACCACTACCAAGTGCACCTATTGATGATATCCAAGCTCAAGGCTTTTCAGCAGTGCATACAGGTAAATGTAACCTCAGGAAATGTTAAAACTTTATGCTGTTGTCACCGTATACAGACATGTCAACTCTCCTGGATGTTCCTGGGAGTCTATAAGATAGCGGCTCCCGGACACCCGGGAGAGAAACATTTTCTCCCGGAAAGGTTTACTCTGCTTATCTAGCCGAGTAAACATTTCCCTGCTATCTGTTTTTTTTTTGGTTTTTTTCTTGACATCGGGGCTGCTGGCCGCTGTCAGTCAGGAAAAAAAAACGGCATAGAAATGAATAGCTAGATTGCTATTGGCTATTTCAATTTGCAATAGCCAATAGCTGATAGCTATTGACCCGCCCACTCCTGCTGTCAATCAGCAGAACTGGACCTGACGTTCTCCATCAGGTCCTCCTCTGCTGACTGACAGCAGCAGAGGGTGGGTGCAATAGCCAGCTTGCTATTAGCTATTGCAAATTGAAATAGCCAATAGCAATCTAGCTATTCATTCCTATGCCGTTTTTTTTTTCTTTTATTCTGACAGCAGCTTAAAAAAAACAGCAGATAGCAAAGGAAGCATTAGCTTCTTTGCTATTTGCCATCAGTTCAGGGGAGTGCTCTCTTCCTTGTTGTTGCACCCCTCCACGGAGAGGTGGGGTTTGACAGAGGGCACCTCGCTGAAATGAGAAGGGCATTTCCCTGAAATGACTTATTTCAGGTTGGGATCCCTGCGTATAGCAGGCAAAAAGCAAAAAAGAGGATTAGAAGAACTGCTAGACCAATTGCCTGTTTGTTTTCTCAACACTAAAGGCTACAATATGGTGATCCTGACCTAAAACAATTCAAAGGTAACAGCAATGCTGAAGTGATGGCTGTATGTGGTTAATGCTAGTAAGTATGTTATGTTATGTTTCATATTGATTCCTCAGGAGCCCTTGGATCCTAGACCCAAGCTATACACAAAGGCTCAGTGTCTGCCCAAGTTGAGATGAGGCCCCCAAGATTCAGTTCCACACTTTTGTTAAAGTGTATGTAAAGGTTGATCCTGCAAAAAACCTTGTGAGCTGTTATCTTTTTGTGCTCTCTGCCTCTGCTGGCTGTTACCAGTTAGCATTGTTCCCAGTTCTCTGCATGGACTGCAAAACACCTCTCAGTATGTTATGGAGGGGGGTGGGCTCTGGAGTCCTGTCCTATGGTGACAATGCTGATTTTTAGAGGTGCACCGAAATGGAAATTTCAAAACCGAAATAAAAACAATTGCCAGGCCGAAACTGAAAATGTTTTTTATTTTTTCACATTTTTCAAATATTTGATTTTTGATGTATTTTTTATAAACTTTTTAATTTTTATTAAATATCTTTATATTTTACTTTAAGGGGCTTTGGGGAAATATTGGGGGTCTAAACAGACTCCAGATATTTCAGACTCCAGATATTTCCCCTTTAAAATAGAAAAAGAGATTGAGAACACAAAGTCCTCAATCTCTTTTTCTGTGTCCCCTGTTATCAATGAACAGGAATCCTCTATACTGAGTGTTCCTGTTCATTGATAACATGAGGGCAGAGTGTGTTTACTATAACTACAATCATGAATGAACAGGAGGTGATGTAGATCACTTCCCATTCATTCATAATTGAGGATATAGTCAACATGCTATGTCCTCAATTATATACAAACACTCAGCGATCACTCCCTGCTTGTACCCGCTCTCCTCTCTGACACGCTGTCACAGGAGGCTGAGTGAGCTGTGTGGGAGGAGAGCTCAGCCTCCTGTGACAGCACGGGCCGTCTCCGCCACCACAGTGCTCTGCCGGACTGTGATGGGAGGCTGAGCGGTGTGGGAGGAGAGACACCGGCCGCTCACAGCGCTCTCCAACCGCAGCGCTCGGCCGGCTGTCACACTTTCTCTCCTCCCCACTGGGACATAGAGCAGCGCCCAGCAGGGAGGAAAGAAAGCAGGGATGCTTGGCTGTATCGGCAGGAAAATGGCACTTTCGACATTTAGCCAAAAGTGCCATTTTGGCCGATATTTCGGTGTATCCCTACTGATTTTCCATAGATACAGTACAGTGAGTGTTACCCTAGGAATGGAAGTGTGTTACTGGTAAGATTACCAGGGGAAAATAAAGGGAAAAAAGCCTAAAAAAGGAAACCAATGCAGCCACCACATCTAAGGACTGTGGCTGCATTGGTTTGAGGGAATTTATCAAAACTGGAGCAGACAAACTCTGGAGCAGCTGTGCACAGTATCCAATCATCTTCTCTTTTCAGTTCACTCAGTTAAGATTTGAAAATGAAAGAGAAAAGCTGATTGCTTGCCATGCACAGCTGCTGCAGATTTTCTCTGCTCCAGTTTTAATAAATTCCCCTCATTATTATTACAGATGGACTGTAAATCAGAACTTCACTCAAAAATAACAACATAAAAATGAACAGCCCAGTCAAGAGATTACCTTTTTCTGCTGCTAGGTGCTTTCAGTCTGATGGCCAACATCATTCAGTCCATTTCTTCTAAACTCAGGTGGTCAGGGACCTGCCCCAGCCTGTGACTGGACACTGTCACTCTGATTTCTCCTCCTATCTAAATGCTTCTTGTCAGCACACAAACTGATTGGCTCCTTGTGCTGCTTCTTCCTCTCGTACTCCAGCCTGTGAGGATCACTTTAAATCATTTTCATCCTGTTTGATGTGAAATTTAAGTTGTTGTATTTAAAAAGGAGTTTGTTTAATACTGATGACTAAACATGTAAATGTTTCAGGAGTGTTTTCAGACTTATTATATTTACATTGGATTTAGTTTAACAGGAAATTATATTTCCAACACACATAGCTGCCTTTGTGATCCACAGACTAATGACTGCCTGACTGTCAGAGGCAACTCTGCCCAAAGCAGACATCTCAGGTTTGGCTGAGCACTTGCAGGTTAAATAAGCAGTTGGCTTCTTCTAGCTCTTCACAGCAGCCTGCGTCTTTTTACTTCATCCCACAAGACTATGACAAAGGTGTATGTAAACCTGAACTCCTCAGCGATTAATATACAGAATCCACGGCTGTAGTCTGATAACATAATTCTGCTCTGTAGTGGCTCTTTAATAGTTGGATGTAACTGGAATATTTGGTAGGAATATTACCATGTATTTCCACTTTTGCAGCCAATTTGGGATAACACCGATTTTATATTTGTTGCATGTTTCTCGTTGACATAGTATAACTTCCCATTTTTTAATTGCTGCTCGCACAATACATGCTCCATTCCGAAAGAAAAGTTGTTCTCTGTACTGAGTTTTGCTCCGCAATGCAACGGGGATTGTTTGGGGACAGGATAATTAATCCCGTCTGTGCGGGCAGATCTCATGATCAGTTGTTAACTAGATTGGAACACTATCCTAATAAAGGGTTAAAGATCTGGCAGCATTGTATGTTAATGAGAAGAAGAAGCTCAGTCTGTCCCTGGTCTTTTTATGGGGACAGTAAGAAGTTTGCAAGGGCCTGCTATACAGACACATCTAAAAGATTTATTATTTTAGATATTAAATTAAATAATTTTTAGTTGAGGTGCACCGAAATTAAATTTTCAAAACCGAAATGAACAAAAATGTCAGGCCAAAACCGAAAATGTTTTTTATTCTAACTTTTTCACATTTTTAAAAATATTTTATTTCTATTCATTTTTTTTACCCCTGATATTTCCCTTTTAAAATAGAAAAAGTGATTGAGGACACAGAGTCCTCAATCTCTTTTTCTGCAGCCCCTGTTATAAATGAACAGAAATCCTCTATACTGAGTGTTCCTGTTCATTCATAACTTGAGGGCAGAGTATGTTTACCATGTCCACAATCATAAATGAACAGGAGGTGATGTAGAGCACTTCTCATTCATTCATAATTGATGATCTACTAAACATACCATGTCCTCAATTATTTACAAACACTCAGCGATCACTGATCGCTGAGTGTTTGTACTCGCTCTCCTTCCTGACACGCTGTCACAGGAGGCTGAGCGAGCGGAGCTCAGCCTCCTGTGACAGCACTGGCTGTCTCCTCCAGAAGCGATCGGCCGCCTGTGACAGTTTCTCTCCTCCCTGCTGGTACACAGAGCAGCGCCCAGTGGGGAGGAGAGAAAGCATGGATGCACCGCTATTTCGGACAGAACATTGCACTTCTCGGCACTTTGCCAAAAGTGCAATTTTTGGCCAATATATCGGTGCATCCCCTAATTTTTAGATATGCTGTGTAAATGGGAACACATAGCAAACATGTAGATGTGTTTTCTTAAATTTGAATGCAAAAGCGGAAATACACTTTAGGCCACTTTGGGGACCCAAAGCACTGAGCTAACAGTACTACAGCACTACCATCAGAGTTTTTGGAGAGCAGAATCCTGAAAAGGACAGCATGGAGGTAAGTGTAATTTAAAGTGTATCTAAACCCAATAATTATAATAATAATGTATTGCAGCTCACTAGTCCTTTTAGATGTTCTACTTGAATTCATTTTGCTTTTCAGGCTTCTTTCCTTTATTTTCACCTGGTTATCCTGGTTAACACACTCCCTGTCCTAAGGTGATCACATATAAGGTTGTTCACGTACGTCATGTCCCTTGAGCTGCATTTTTCTGTACACCACCGCACATGTATGTTGTGCACAGGGCACTTAGTTAACATTTCTCTTCTATGTCCCTGTTCACACTATACAAGTGCGTTGGTGTGCAGAAAAACGCAGCTCAACAGACATGGTGTGAACAAGCCCTTTGCGTACTGTATCACTGTAGGAGCATCATTCTCACCCTTGGACAGGAAGTGCATTAGGGCTACAGACCACATTCCCCTCTGCTCATCTCTAAAGTGAATTGTTTTGTAGTCAACAGAGAGAAGTAGGAACAATTCTAACTGAGACAGCAGCGGCAAAGAGCACAGGAAGTATGAGAACACGGTTTCACTAGATTATACTTACCTTCAGCACTCCTCTGTAAAAACAAGTGAGAACTAGAAGTTCTCCTTTTAAAAGGTAAGTAAAGGAGGAAATAAACATTTTGCAGGAGTTTTTCTTTAAGTAAGGGAGAAAATATAAAGTCTTATGTGCAGTTAGAGTAACTGTACATTCAGGTTCTTTCATAAATCTAATTGTGACAGGTTCTCTTAACAATTTTACTCTTTGTTGGAAATGGTATAAGGGATATCATCCCAAATTCATTTGTATGCTGCTGTGCACTTTTTACAGATGTCTGTGGTGTGATGGGAAGGACCTCTGGTGATGAAATTGCTCAGATAGAAGTCCTGACCTTGGCTTGAATTCAGTGATAGGAAGCAGACTCTTTCCCTTGAAGGTTGGATCATGCCCTGGGGTGGACAGTGGCTGTCACGGCTAAGCTGTGTTTTGCTGGGAACAGTGTTATTTTGTGTACACTGAGAGAAATGACTCCTGATTCAATTAACAGGATAGAGATAGCAAAAGTCAAAGCTGCCTGAGAACATTATCGAAGACTTCAGCTTTCCTTTGCCAGCAGCTACTAAGCCCAATGTAGAATCCGTAAAATGTTACTTACTTAATTACCTTGTCTTGTTTTTGGCTGTTGTTGAATCTGGCCCATCAATGTATTATCCTTAAAGTGAAAATATGCTTTGCTCATACCAGGCAAAATAACAGGTTTACTTTAAGGGTATTGTCAAGAACAGCACACATACTTAATGTCCAACACTGGGCTATTTTAAAAAAATATGCCTCCATAGGTTAAAAAAGCAGCTCAGTCTGAAATACTTACATTTGATCTGGAACTGTCCCCCACAGTATTCTGTTGTTGCCACAAAGTGTGCTTAGTCTCCCGGGGGAAATAATGCCCAGCAAGATCTTATGTGTGTAGGGTGCTATGGGCCTGCCCCCTGCAGAGGCATCACCACAGCACCTTGCATTCACTAGCGAAGACAGTGGCGCTGATGCAAGCACATCAGTGCTGCACTGTGCATCATTGAGGGGTGTCCACCGTTGGGTGGAGCCCGAAGAGGACCCGGTGCATCACATGAGTGGCCTACAGACTTCTAGGAGCTTCTTTGGGGCGTATTTGCCGCGCCTATCCATTAGGATACAGCACGATAGGCCTCGGAAACGCACGTTTGTTGCGCGTTTCTTTTACCGCATATCACGGTGCAAACACGCATATTCCGTACGGGCAGGTGTGAACCCAGCCTAAAGATGAGAAGCCCTGCATAAAAGCTTTGAGTTGCTCAAGTCAGAGCTTGCAATTGGATGAGGACTGTCTTTGCGACAGCACTAGCACAATCAACAAGTGCCAAAACTGTCACATAAGATTAGGGAAAAAATAAGTCACGTGCTTCCCCATACCTGGTATTGGGTACATGAGGTACTAGGTTTTCTGTTTGCTTTTGGTGGTTTAATGGAGTAAAGGCGAACAAAGTAAAAGTGCTGTTGAGGCATTAAAGTAAACCAATTGCTTTGCCCACCATGGGCAAAGCACAGGTTTGCTTTACAGTTAAGTTGAGACAAACAACTAAATATATAAAAATAAAATACATATATGTTACTGTTTTACATGACAATGTGTTTGTAATGTTGAGCAGCCATTCTTGTGATACACTTTTGTTAGTTAAGTTACTCGGCATGAATACCATACTCCCTCTCTACTTGACCTAGGCTTGAGATAAAGCACTAATTATGAGGGTAAGTCAAAAATTATCCGCACTCTGGCTGTAGAATTTATTTTAATCAACTTTTAGAAAAGACAAATACATAATTTTTCGGCATAATCTCCTCGCTTTTCAAACACACTTTGTCTATGTTCCCTCATTAAAAAATGTTTTAGGCTGAGCTGTGAGCCACGAATGCACCGTTGTCTTCACTTCTTCATCAGAGGTGAATCCTCGTCCTCGTAGGGCTGCTTTCATGGGACCAAAGCCACATAGCCCACTGTTACTTGTCTATTCGACAGAATAATTTCACGTGTACGATCAATGTTGTCGTCAGCGGTGGACCTGGACGGGCGTCTGGCTCCTTCTTGATGGCTAACACTTGTGCGATCTTCCTTGAACTTCTGTATCCATGCATACACACTTCGCAACAAAACAGTTTCTCCATACTATGCACAAAGTGTTCAATAAATAACGGCACCAGTCACACGCTCAGACCACAGAGCTGCTCTTTCGTGCAAATCACAAGTGAGGCATCCATTTCCTCTTGCACCGCAGTTACAAATGAACTGACGTAACACGTTCACACCTGCACAACAGTAACTGGGGCAGTGGCCTTGAACGGAAAGTGCTAATAAGACAGTGCGGCCAACAGAAGTTTTAATAAAACCGGAGTTCGGAGAATTTTTTACTCACCCATATAAAGAACTAGAGATCCATAAACCCATTTACATTACCTCACTAGTCAGGGGCTGCATACCTCTCTTTTTCTAACCAACTCTTGCTAGATATTTACTTTAGCCCCTCCTATTCCTCTTCTTGCTAATTTTCCCTAGTTGTTCTCAATGGAGCTGGCTACTAAAAAAAAGTCCAGACAGGCTCCTGAATTCCATATTAAAGTGCCTCTAAACTCAGGAGTTACATCTTAAAAATACATTCAAGTACAACTATTAACAAAAATGTATCCTATTTTTGTATCACTTGGCTGTAGATACTCAAATCATCTCTGAATTGGTGCTGACACCGTCCTTCCTTTTGTAGGGTGGCTACTTTTGCTCTCCGTGGTCCCTGTGTGTGTTGTAAAGTAGCCAGCGCTCCAAGGTCGCTTCCTGGATGGACTATAATCTCATGTTTAGTTGTACAATCTCAATACAAATATGTGAACTTGACATGAGATTGTAGTCCATCGCAGGAGCGAGTTTAGAGTGGTGGCTACTTTACAGTACACACAGGCACCATGGCGAACAAAAGTGACCATCCTCCAGAAGGAAGGACGGTGTCAGCACCAATTCAGAGACAGTGCTGACAGTTAAGGCACTTGAATGCATTTTTAAGTTTTAACTCTGGAGTTAAATGTCACTTTAACTTGTCCACCCCTGTTTTATGGATGTTTATTATTGTGTGGCAGGTTATGGCATCCTTCTGTTCTTCAGCTGTCGAGAGACTACAAGATGCTTCATGTTCTGTGAGTTCATCTGGAACCTGTTTGTTGTGCAGTATTTAAGGATGTCAGTGCCTGCTGTAGATCTTTATAGAGAATAGTGCAGAGAGCATTGATGATGACCTGCATCTCATAGAATATAATCAAACTTCATCTCTCATTAATTTAGAACAGTCATGCTAATTAAAGATTCTGATGGGTCGGTTGCTCTGGGTTACTGCACTTGGCACATTGTCTTATTCATTAAGTTTAAAAAAAGGTATTTTTGATCTTTTCTGTTTCTGCATTCAATGGTTTCTGTTTTTTGTTTAGCAGATGTCAAGCAGCCAGACTCGGACATAAGTGAAACCACAAATGTCATCGTCACACACGCTATCTTTATAGATGTTTCAAGCCAAGAAACCACCAGGAAGGTAGATTTGATTGATAAAGCAGAAGAGACAGTGATAGAGAATGCAACTCCAGGGGTGGTGATAGCCAGCAATGCGTCTGCTACTGGCCATCCGACTATGGCTCAAGCCTTATCTGCTGAAATACCTAGCACTGAAGGTACAGACAATGTTAACTTTATTTTATCTACTTCTCCATTTATCTTTTGTCTTTGCCTGTTGTAGGTATTTATGTCACTGTTGGATAGACAGGCAGAGGTAGTCTGGCAAAGATGTGCAGGAAAATTAGGTGACAAATGTAGACGTCAGACTATCTCAGCACTTGCCAGATCCCATGAGCTAGGTGGACATTTTATTTTTAGTTTGTCTGGTCCAGCAAAGCATATTAGCAACTATTCCATTACAAGGAGATAGGATTTTAGGAGCTTTAAATTAGGGATGCACCGATACCAAGTACAGTACTCGGTACATGTACCAATACTTTTCCAGTTTCAAGACTAGACTAGAGAAAAATTCAAAAGTTAGGAGGCAGCTGTTATTTGTAAGGAGCACACGGAGCTCTTGGGATTTCTACATCTCTGTTTTAATGTATGATTTTGTTTTTATAACTATAAATAAAAGGGATGCACCAATACCAGTTTTGCGAGTACGAGTACTGGTACTTTCTCAAGTACTTACAAGTACCAGTACTGATAAATTTTTGTTTGTCATGTGACAGTTTTTCTAAAACAATATCGACTAATGATTTCAAGACAGTGGTGGAGCACTAGAGTCAGATCCCAGCTGCAACCCTGGTAGTTCTCGTGAAAATGCCAAGTATCGGCATTGGTACTCGAAAAGTATGGGTGCATCCCTACTTTAAATTATATCCCTAGAAATTGATTCTTCTTTTCTACAGCTTTTTAATGGCCTATTCACACTAGTCTATTTACCTGCAGTAAAACACATAACATTTACAGTATGAAAATGTTTTCCAAGTAGAAATGCTATTCTTTCACATGTGGCTGGTTCATATGTATGTGCTGTAGTTAAGTCTGTTTGTAAAGTAAAACTATAATGCTGCATTTACACTATTACGTGTGTATTATAACGCACATAGATGTGCACCAGCCCCATAGGAAAGAATGGTATTTCTACTTTAAATGCATTTTTATGTTGCTGCATTAAGAAATACAATTGTTAATAGGCCCTTAGGGCCCAGTCACTCTTACAAGTGTGCATTGTAATGTGCATACATATACAGTATGTGAATAAAGCCTAAATTGCTAGCCTAAAGCAAAACAATCATCACATGTATCACCACATAGACGCAGGAAGATCTCTAGGCTATTATACATTACATATTAGATAAACTATGATATTTGTTATGTATTGCTCAGGATTGGCCTAGTTATGTACATATTTAAAAAAATAAATAAATCAGTCATATGTCCTTATTTCAGATCCACTCTCTAAGGATGAAGATCGTTTGGCAGGTTCAGTATCTTCAGTTCCACTACCTGAAGCCCCAGCAGAGATTGAATCCACCACCGTTACAATGATCACATCTGCCCCCCAAGTCAGTGTGATGGCTCCCCCAACAAGACAAGTCACGGCAACACCAGCCTATGGGCTGGATAAGCCAGAATCAGAAGGTAGGCGTGGATTCTTTATTCTGAAATTGGAATATACACATTTGTTAATGTTTATTTGTAGAATCCCAACATGTATCATAGTGCTGCACTTTATAAGCGTTGGAGTGATTTTATGAAATTGAGAATTTCATTTTTGGAAGGCTTTATGTCAAGCAGTGGGACTTCTCTGTTGATTGATTGTTTTGGATTGAGAGGCAATTTGTGAAAACAGGAAGTGTTGGAGCTCTCGTACATTTTTCTGACATGACAGCACTTACACCCCATTAACACTACACCTAAGAGTTTGGAATTCAGCGCCTTTTTATCACGCCATTTTTAATAGACGCGCAAATTTCTGTGTGTTTGTGGCTACAACCACAGTCAGAATGCGCGGCAACTGCCCAGAAAATCGCGCATGTACTTTTTGCCACATTCCACGTGTGAACCAGCCCCATAAGACCATTTTTTCAAATTGTCACCTTTTTTTTTAACATTTCAACTGCAGCTTTTAGAGTTTTCAAAAGGCCCCCCAAACTATATATTTTCTCAAAGCACAGACCCAGTAGAATAAAAAGATGGTTCCACTAATTTTGTAGTTGCGATAATTGCGCAAATGTTACCAAAATCAATTTTAAACCGATAAAAATACACAATCAAATTGATAAAAGCACACTAAAATCAGTATTAGTGCACACTACATCTAAAAGCTAAAACTGTATTGAGCTAATACATAACAAATATTTGTAAATGTTAAATTATGCCTTTTTGCAAAACAGTAAAAAAAAATAAAAAAATGAAGGAACACAAAACTGTAAATAGGCAACTTATGTTAAAAATTGTTTGTGCGCTGTGTGTGTGTTGTGATAAAATGATGCCGGTGTTATCACAACACAGTGTATCACAACACACAATGTGTCACAATGCTCTGCCATGCGCTGCCACACAGTTGAATTGTTATTTTAAAAAGAAAAAAAAAGAAATGTGTTCTAACAACGCAGCGCATGTGCATGGTGTACACCACAATATGGTGCTCACTGTTGCGCGTGTATAATGTGTATGTCTGGGGTGGGGGGGCATGTTGTGTTTTTTATTTTTTTAATTTATTTTTATTTTTTTACTGTTTGGGGGGCTTTGGTAAAATATCAGGCGTCTAAACCTAAATCCAAGACCCCTGACATTTCCCTTTTAAATTAGAAAAACAAATCATCATAAGAAAACTCACTCCGGGAAATTCCATGAAGCCATTGCTGGGGTGCTTGCATAAAGAGGAAGTGGTAGCAAAAAAAGGACACGCGATCAACAGCACTGAGATACAACAAAGGTTGTAAAAAATAAAAAAGTGAAACCAAATATACTAAAAATAAAACAAAAAAAAAAAACACAATTGCCTATTGAACGCAGTGCTTAACAAACTAAATGTCATGTAGTTACAGTTACTTGCGACGCAGGAAAGTTTGAGGCACACTGCACTATGTAGGTGCGAATGAATGTACACCATGTTTCTCTTTTTCATATGCAGTCATTAAAATCCCCTCCATAGCCCTAATTACAGTTACATTGATGGAAAGTATGTTACTACCGTGTTTCCCCGAAAATAAGGCACTGTCTTATTTTCTTTTTTGCACGAAAAAAAAAAGACACTAGGTCTTATTTTCGGGGGATGTCTTACCTGGCTGGGGGAGGACTGGACGAGGTCCCGGAAGGTGGCGTGCTGTTGCCGGTCCCGGTGTGATGTTATGCCGCTTCCATCGGGCGTGAGGGCGGGTGCTGCGGCCGGCGGGCGTGTGGGCGGGGTGGGAACTGCGGCTGGCGTGTGGGCGGGGCGGGATATGCTGATAGGATGAGAGAGCAGAGTGGCAGAGATATTAGCTCATTGGTCAACTGCTTCCCAGTAAACAATTCGGTCTTCTGCACTGCCAAACAGGTTTGTGCAGTGACAAAGATGTATAAATCCCAGGACTGGATGGACAGAAATACAAATCCTTTGCAAGGTAATACAGATCCCTTATATGTGCTTAATCTGTGCGTTTAACTATTTGCCTGGTGATCAGCCCTAAATGGACCTTTCAACAATTACATTCCTGACATCACAATATACTGCAACAGTATAATCCTTCAAGGCTCTGGGCGTATATGCAGATGAATTTATATGCTAAGCTTGACTATCCCTGTAAAATATACTCAGTTTGAATTGTTCTGGTTTGTAAAACGTTAACTTAAAGTGACATTAAACCTTTACTTTTATTTGTATGCAAGGGAGGCACACATGGTATGCAGATCCATTTTGTTTTCTAAAAAGTGTTTATTGCCCAGGTGTCTCCATCAGCGCATCACTCTCCACCTGCCCAGGTGTCTCCATCAGCGCATCACTCTCCACCTGCCCAGGTGTCTCCATCAGCTAAGCGGCTGCTGTGGAGACACCTGTGTGTGTGCATTCCCAGCCGTGCCCGCATGTAGCTGTGTGCGTCCATAGACATACAGGGCAGGCCAAGCCCCTCCTCTCCTCCCAACAGGTTGATTGATGGCAGAAGCAGCCTATGGCTCCTCTTCCCTCAGTAACCTCCACCCGAAACCAGAAAATATGGGGAACGGAAGATCCGGCGGCGGTGACACAGCTATGCACAGGAAGTGTGGGGGGACGTAAGAAACTAAAAGGTGCTGCACGTTTGTTACCTTAATGCAAAGAATGCATTGAGGTAAAAACAACCTGACTTTAATACTACTTAAAATACATAGTAGGTTCAATAAGCCCAATAATAGCGAAAACCTGTCTTGAGCAGCCTTAAGGTGGCCATACACTGTACAACCATCGCAAGACCTTAGTTTTGCGATGGTTGTAAAGTGATTAAAAAAACATACGATCTGCCCATCTTGACAGGCAGATCGTACTCTCGATCATCTCAAGCCCACCCCCCTGAGGGGCGGGCTTCCGATGACCGCAATGCTGAACGGGCAGTGTGCGCGTGCGCACACCGGCCCGTTCGGCATTTGTCTCCCGAGCACCGTTCAAACCACCCGAAAATCGTACGATTCTCGGCTGGTTTTCTAACATGCTCCTTAGACAAAAGACGTGCGACCGTACAGTAGAAACGGTTGCACGTCTTTGTTCACACTGCTCGATTCTCGTACGATCGCGGGATTTCCCACGATTCTCGTACGAGAATCGAGCAGTGTATGGGCACCTTTTAGTGTGTTATTGATAGTTTAAGACCTTGCTGAATTTAGGCATTCATTTATAAAAACCAGGCTTTATTCAAGTTGATTTTACTATGACCCTCTCTACGTGTCCTGGTGGCCATTTTCAAAAAAGGGATGGGAAACCCAACATTTTACAGTTGTCACCCGAACAGGGATACCCTGTTCGGGTGACATCTAAGAGAAGATTTCGGTTTAGAGAGAACTCTTCTCATTTCCTGCTGCGTCCCCTAGACAGGAAGTGGAATCTCCATAATAGGGAAAAAGAGAGAGAAGTTTTAACCATACTTTACGCTACCCAAAACTAAAATGAATGGCTTTAGATACGTTAAGCAAGGCTACCTGGTAAAGGTTATTGAGCAAAGCAATCCAACTAATCAGAATGCATCAGTCACTTTACATGTGCAGGCTGGAAACTAATAGCTAAAATCAGGTTGCTGTGGGCAGTAAACATTTGTCTTTACCTCACATTTCATTAATGACCACAGATGTCTCTGAAAACTTCAGTTTTTGGATGGAGGATACTTTTCCTCAGAAAGACCAAATATATGTAACAGTCTTCTAAAACTAAAATAAAATCTTTGTCGTGCCTCTTCAATACAATAAAGAGCTGTGCTGTTTTTTTCCCCGGTTTTCATGCATTTTAGTTTTCTTTTGCCCTTCTGGCTCCTCTATCTTTTTGAAATGTTGCTGGTCGCAGTGGTTGAGCTGTGAACAAAAAAAGAGCTCCTATGTGTACAAACCAAAGTGGTCACTGGAATTACCTTAAAAGATAACTATGGGGTAAGCGTTTTTCCCCATAGTTCTCTTAAGGGTCACAGGAGGACATATACTAGTGACCCAGTCAGCTCTGGAGGATCGGAGCGTGGAGGAGGGAATCCCTGCAGGGAGCCGTGACTGACAGTCACGGCTCTCTGCAGGGAGATGATCGAGAAGTGAGCGAGTGACGGTATGTGTTTGCTCACTTCCCGATCTATTGAGCTGACGTGTGACAAATTCATTGTCACACATCGGCTTGAACTATGAGGATGAGTGATTTTCAACTCATAGTTCTCCTTTAATCTGATTTTGTAATTAGTGATGTACTTGGGCTTGGTGCAAACCCAGTTCACCGGAGTTTGCTTAAGCCTGTGCAAGAATGTCATTGCCACACACCCCTCCCGGCCCAGTCAGGTCATTCCTGGAACTGATTGGGCTGGGTTCGCACCAAGCCCACCCACATTCCTAGTTATAATGACTAATAATGCATTGTGCAGGTCACTTCAGCCTCAGGGGAGAGAGTGCGTGCAGGGAAATTTGGTAAGTCTTTACGTGGAGTCCCACTTACTTACCTTAAGAATCAGATAAAAACATAAATGCAAATACCTGTAAGGGATTACAGCAAGAATGTTATTAAAAAAAGGTGCAAATCTAAATGGAATATATGAACACACGGGGAGCAGCTGTTATACTTTTCTCTTTTGGTCACCAAACGAACCAATAGTGAAGCATGTTGGTGGCAAAACTATGCTTTGGGGATATTTTTCTTCAGCTGGAACTGGGGCTTTAGTCAAGGTGGAGGGACTTTTGAACAGTTCCAAATATCAGTCAATTTTGGCACAAAACCATTAGACCTCAAAGATGAACACCTTTCAGCGTGACAACGACCTAAAGCGTACCTCGAAATCAACAAAAGAATGGCTTACCCAGAAGATGATCAAAGTTTTGGAATGGCCTAGCCAAAGTCGGACCTGAATCCAAATGAAAATCTGTGGGGTGACCTGAAGAGGGCTGTGCACAGTAGATGCCCTTGTAATCTGACAGATTTGGAGTATGTGGGCAAAGAT